GTGCACAACAAGAAACACGGGACAACACAATGACTCCACGGGTAGTAGAAGGTACACAGGAAACCCCCATACAAGGGGCACAACAGCGCGCCACACCTCAGATCATGATGCAAGACACACAACCACAGTGGAAATTCAGAGAGGAACTCCGAACACTCACGGAGCGTAACTACCTCAAATGGAAATCCGCAGTAACAAACATCCTCATCGAGCACGACCTCCAAGCCATCGCACAACCTGGATTCTCGCCCCCAACACATGACACCAGCACATTCTATGCAAAGGCATTCGCGAGCTGCAATCGTATGATTGCCGTTTTGGGAGGGGGGGGTGTGAGGCTTTGGTCGTTGAAGATGTAGAGCGGGAGGTGCGAGCTGTGTGCGGGACGGATTGGGGAGCGGGGCCGGCCTACGCGGGTTGATAAAGGGGTGCGGTGCGCGAATGTAATGCGCACGCAGGCGGCCAGCGGCCCGCGTCAGGAGCGCTGACTTACGTTTTCGCGCTCCGTAACCGCCTTTTTTCCACCGCATCCCGATCCCGATCCCGATCGCCGCACCACCGTCAGCACCGGTGAGCGCTCCCTGCCCCACGCCCCGCTTGCTGCTGCTCCTTTGAGGACCTCGCCCCTTGCCCGCGCGTTGGCCGGACACTCCCGGACGCTCCCTGTCGCGCTCTTGCCCTCCCGCGCCCCCACCCTCGCCGGCGCCCCCATCCGCGCCCGCGCCCCCATCCGCGCCCGCGCCCCCACCCGCGCCCACCCTCCTCCGAGCCGCGCGCTGCCCGCGCCTGCCTCGCCGTCTTCGCCTCCCCAGCTGCGGCGTGCCCGCGCGCCTTGTTGCTGAAAAGAGTGCGCCACTGTAAGGCGTGTGCCTCTGTAAAGAGAGGGCGCCGCTGTAAACACGCGCGCAAAAGTTTTTATGGCAACCTTGCCCTTTTTCCCAAACTTTCCGCCTCACCGCCTTCCGCGCCCGACACGTAAACGCCCCTCCGTCTACCATGCCTCCTCCGAGGTCCTTGCTGGCCTTGCATTCCCGCGGGAGAGAGCATCCAATGTGCACCCCGCACGTGTCGTCGCTGTCGCCCAGCCCACCTGCCCGCTGCCACGACCCCCACCGTTTCCACGTGTCCGCGTGTGCCCGTTTTCGGTCCCTCCTTGATCCGCTTCCTCCTTGCTCACGCCTCCTCCTTGATCCGTTTCCTCCTTGCTCCGCTCCGACCTTGCTCCGCTCCGACCTTGCTTCGCTCCGTGCTTGCTCCGTTCCGTGCTTGCTCCGCTTCCTCCTTGCCCCGCTTCCTCCTTGATCCGCTTCCTTGCGCCTTTACCCACCTCATCCCACCGCCCTCACCGACTCTGCCCTCCTCGCTCCCCACCCCGCCTTGATCGCCATGCCGCCCTCCGCCAAGCGCCAGCTCAAGGCCGCGAAAGCCCTGATCGACGCCGGCGACTTCCAGGGCGCCCTCCCTCTTCTCGACGCTTTGATCGCCTCGGACCCGCACGCCTACCACGCCCACGTCCTGCGGGGGCTGTCCCTGCGCTCCCTCTCAGACCTGCCGGCCGCCCTGTCCGCCTACCACTCTGCCGTCGCCCTGCGCCCGGAGTCCGCGCTAGCCTACAAGGGCATCCTGGCCGCCGTCCCGCCTGACGACCCGCTCCCCGCTCACCGCGCCGCCCTCGCGCGCGCCCACGCCGCCCTGGCCGACCTCGCCCTCTCCGCCCCGCGCCCGGTCGACG